TCCTAAAAAATATGTTATTTGTGTTAACTTGTAATGAGCTTCTTATTGCTATTTTTAATTATTATTAATATGACAATTTAAACACAAATTAATACATACAATTTTACCAGTTTTAATTTTTTATATGGTAAAATATCACTAGATAAAACCCACATAAATAAAAGCTTCTGGGGGAAGGTACTCAATAATTTTGATGAATGTAAAGTGGTCCAGGGACCAAAAATGTGAAGTAGACTAAGCTGTTCTTGGTTCTGCACACATGCATTTCCGCCTCCACGGTTTTGTTCACACAGTGCCCTCCTCCTTCCAGCCTGCTTGCTCTCTCCTCTCCTCTCTACTCATTCCAATGTTTACCAGCTCAAATCTCATCTCTTTCAGGAGGTAATTTCTGCCCTCTGAGTTTTGTATTTACTGTTCGTGTCATTTTTTGGGGCATCTACACACTACCTCACTGTAAACCCTTTGGAATCAGGGACAATCTGTCCAGATCTCTCTCTCTATCTGCCATGGCTCACATGTGGCTACGTACACAGTAGGGCTTCCATGAATGTTTGTTTCTGCAGGTGCTTCAAGCAAAGTAACTATGATAGATCGAATTGAGGACTGAAATAGCAAACTTTTTGAAGAAAGGATTGTTGGTTCCTAGATTTAGGGCTGCAGGGGACCTCAACTAGTCCAATCCCTTCATTTTATAGACCAGGAAATGGAATCCCAGAGAAGTGAAGTGACTTGCCTAAGGCAATATGGGTAATAAATGGCATAAGCAGGATTTGAACCTATGTTCTTTGATTTCAAATCCAATGCTCCCTCTCTTGCACAACATTTGTTAAATGAATGAATGAATGAAATCTGAGCTATGTTGAAGAAGTGGTAGAGCCTGAAAAGGTTGGAAAGGGGCAGGGAAATTGTGAGAAAAAGAGAGAAGGGGAAGGGAGGGAGAGGAGACAGACAAGGAAAGGGGAGAGGGAGAGAGAGAGAAAGAGGGCAGGAGGGAGGGAAAGAGGGGGGAAGGGAAGAAGGGAGAGAGAGAAAGAGAGAAGGAGAGAGACAGAAAGAAAGAGAGAGAAAGAGAGGGGAAAGGGAAGGAGGGAGAGGGAGAGAAAGAGGAAGGGAGAGAAAAAGAAGAAGAAGAAGAAAAGGAGAAAGAGAGAGGAGGGAGGAAGATGAGGTGTGGGGGTGTGTGGGGGGAGAAGATTTTAAGACAACATCCAGATTCCCTGGCTTGAGAGATGGAAGACACTGATCTCTGCAATTGGGAGAAAGTTGGATGATAAAGAATCAGGAAAATGAATTACATGGTTTATTATCTGTAGTGTTTATTTTTAGATCTCTTTCCTTCTAACTTTTTTTTCTCTCTTGAAGACTCAGGCTTCCTATTTTGACTTGTCTGTATTTGATCAGAATGATTTTAATTCTTTTTAAGATACCATACCCAAAGTCTGTGCACTTTGTTGCATTTTTCATTAAAAAACCCCCTCTTTTTCAGTCCTAGCAAATGCTCAATCTTTTCCACTTCAATAGCTTGAAATTCTCCCCCGGGAGTCATAAGCTCTTTAAATATTTTTAGGTTGCCAGATTTCTTATGTTTGCTCTCCAGGAAGCCAATTTTGTTTCTATGCTCGTGAGAGTAGTCCAGCTCCATCTTTTGCCCGCTTGCTGCATCACAATAAAATGCCGCCTAATTACTGCCTTTGTTGAGTCCCAGACGTGTTAGTGTTTGTCTCCAGGCTAAGACTGTGGACCATAAACTCTTCTCCAACTGGAGATAAGTCTCTTCATTATTTAAATCTCTAGGTCTATAACAGGAGGTTACTACCCAGCAACTGACATCAACCCAATTATTTCCAGTCTTGTAACCAAAGTGATCAAGAAAAAATATATAAACAACCAATCATTGAGAAATTTAAAAATAATATCTAGCTGGAAGAGAGCTTAAGAGAATTCTAAAGCTGGAGTGTGCAGCACTAGAAGCAGGTCCAGTCCCCTGGCTTTCCATCCCTCATTATTTTCTTACTTGGTGTGAGAGTGAGAAGTCTGAGGGAGGAATTTTGAGTGTGAGGACCTGAGAAGTTTTACTACTTCTTGTCTGCTGTAATGGGAAATAGTCGGAAGTCAGCCTAAGATTCATGCTGGATTTTAAATAAACACTTCTGCAAATAATCCCCTCTGAGGGAGCCAAATAAATTCCTATTTTCTTAGAAAATGTCTCCAAATCTGACTTTCTTAAAAAAAAATACAGTCTAGAAAGGATGCTAACCACTTATTTCGTAACTATATGACAGAAAAATGAACCAGGCAATAAAAAAAAATGAGATGCAATAGGATTTTATGTAAGAATTAAACACTAAATGAATGATTATCTCCTTAATCTTCAATGGAAAGAATTTGTGGGAACAGCCAGATGTTGTCTGTTTGTTTAGCTTCTGAAGCTAGTGTCTAAGAAAGATATTAATGACTGCAAGCAAGGAAGCTGCTACCTCACAGGTGAGAGTGGAGAGAGAGAGAGGCTGTACACAGGCTTTGTTTTGATCCCTTTCTTTAACACCCTTTCCCAGTGCCACCTGCCTACTGTTTTTCTGCTGTCCCTGTCTTTGTCCAGTCCTGGCAGCTCAAGATATTAACTGACTATGAAGGTCCTGATCTCTCTGCTTGCTTCTCTTGCCCAGTGTTTCAGGTGGTGAAGTACGTGACTTGGAGTCAGAAAGAGCTGAGTTTGAATCCTGACTCAGAAATTTATTAGCTCTGTGACCCTCAGCAAGTCATTTAACCTCAGACTTAGTTTCCTTATCTGCAAAATGGGGATAATAATAGCGCTTATCTCACAGGGTTGTAATCATAAGAATCGCATGAGATAAACCTTAAGGCACTATATCAATATTATTATACTTTAGATGTGCTTCAGGTACACAGGATCTGTCACAAAGCTTGTGTTTTTTTTTTAACTAAGAAAATTTTATTGGTGACAGACTGGTAGCTTCCCAGTAAGCAATGCTGAGAGAGAAAGAATCGTTTTTTTTTTTTTTTTTGCTTTTTCAGAAGGCAGTCTGGGTTAAATGATTTGCCCAGGGTCACACAGCTAGTAAGTGCAAAGTGTCTGAGGCAGGATTTGAACTTAGGTCCTCCTGACTCCAAGGCAAGAGCTCTAGCCACTGCACCACCTAGCTGCTCCATCTTATCTGACAGGTACAAATGTATCTCTTAGAGATGGCCATAACATTTTTGTAAAAACAATGAGCTTACTTCTGTGATCCTTGGATAGTTATTTAATCTTTATGAATCTCAATTTCCTTATCTATGAAATGAAGATAATGTTAATACTTAACCTCCCAATGTGTTTGTGAGGATCAAAGGAAATAATGTGTATGAAGTGCTTTGTAAACCTTGAAGCACCAAATAAACATCATCTATTATTTTTATTAAAAAAAAAAAGAGAGAAGAAAAGAAGGTAGGCAGGAAGGAAAGAAGAAAGAAAAAGGGAAGGAAGAAAGGATGGAGAAGAAAAGGAAGGAAGGGATGAAGGAAGGAAGGAAGGAAGAAACAGAAAAATAATGGATTGACCAAGTGTATAAAATGCATTGAGTGCACAAAAGTCTAGACTAGAGTATCTACTATTGCTATTGACTATTATTATTGTTTAATGGCTGAGCCTTTATCTGACGCAACCAAGGAATAAAATGGCGGTCTTTATTAAAATTTTGTGGAATTTGAAAGATTTCATTGTCATTGTCAGAAAGCAAACAGTTCTAGTTACTGGAAAGAGAAAACAAAAGGGAAACCAGTTATTATGAATTACAGAATTTGAGAACTGGAAGAGACCTCAGCAGCCTAGATGTAGGCCAATCCCTACACAAAAAGAATGCTCAGTATAACATATCTAATAAAGGGTTATGCGGCCTCTGTTTGGATATCTCCAGGAAGGGGAACCGACCACCTCCCTAGGCCCCCATTCCTCTTTGAGAAGGCTTTATTTATTAGGGAATTTCCCCTGGCATCAAGCCCAAATGCGCCTCTGTACCACTTCCCTTTACTGTTCTTGGTTCTACCTTCTGAAGCCAAACAGAACACATCTAATCTCTCCATCACATGATATCCTTCTACATACTTGAATATAGTGATCACGTTCCTCTCTGGTGTTCTTTTTTCCAGGATAAATGTGCCTGCTTCCTTCGACCGATTCCAGTCCGACAGGAACTCAGGTCTCTCCTCTAGACACCCCCCAGCTTATAAGCTGTGGCGCTCCGTGCTGAACAGAATTGTCCAGATGAGGCCTGAGCAGGCCAGAGTGTACTATGGGACTCTCCATCACCTCCTCATCACTGGAATCTCCGTCTCTCAACGCAGCCCACGATCTCAGCTTTTTTGGCTGCCGCATCAAATTGTTGACTCATAGTGAGCTTGCAGTCTGCTAAAAGCTTCAGATTTTTTTTTCAGAACAATTACTCTCTAGACATGTTTTCTCCATATTGTACTGATGAGGTTGATTTTTTTTTTATGTAAGACTTTATATTTAATTCTGTTGAACTTTTATCTTATTAGATTTAGCCCAATGCTTGAGCTTTGGGGATCTTGACTCTATTATCCAGTATTAACTATCTCTTTCAGCTTTGTGTCATTTTTAGATTTGACGTGCTTATCATATATGGCTTTATCTAAATCACTGAAAAAATATAAATTAGCACAGGCCTAACCACTGTACTCCACTGGAGGCCTACCTGGCGTCACATAGCTAGCAAATGTCAGGACTTGAATCCGTGTCTTTCGGACTCCATATTCAATACTCTATCCACTATACCATAATCCTTTTCCTTGTTGGAAGTACCCAATGTGGAATCAGAACTGGGTAAGTTGAGGTAATAAGGTGGTTATACAATAAGCAAGTAAATATAGGTACAGAATACATAGTGTATGATAGTGCAAACTCAAACAGAAATGGGACTCATTAAATGGTGCATAAGGATCCCTGTGGGCCACATGTTGATTTAGAAAACCACACATTAATATTATTTGTGTTCTATTGTATTTTTATTTATTTTGTTAAATATTTCCCAATTCCATTTTAGTCTGATTCCAGGGGGACTGGGGAGAGTTGCCAGACTCTGGGCTAGTGTATCCACATACTTATGTACACATGGGTGTATATATAAGTGTGTGCTCTAGTGTATCCACGTGCTAATATACTCATGCATTTATATACACACACTTTATACAGGTGTCTGTATGTTCATTTAATCCTCATAACAACCCTGTGTGGGAGGAAGGTTTGGTATTATTCCCATTTTGACAGATGAGGAATATGAGTCTCAGAAAGGATACGATTTCCTTCTTATAAGATAAGCTAAGATCACACATAAGTGGCACCACAGAGGTCTCAAGCTCATATTTGTGGATTCCAAACCAAGGATTTTTTTTTCATTATTTTGTGCTGTGCCTTTAATTTCATTCATTAACACCAAGAATAGACAATAATGGAGCAGTCTAGGGAAGGAGCAAAGAGTAGTCAGGGGCTGAATGGGTTAGGGGTGGGGAACCTGTGACCTGTGGCCTCGAGGCTATAAGTTCCCCATCCCTGGTAGGGAATTCCAGCTTGTAGCTAAATAGCTTGTAGCTACTTAGAAGTCATTACAGACTCTACCTTATCAGTGCTGACTCCTTGTAGAACTGAGACTTCTGAAATGAGAGAATAACAAGGACAGTAAGGGGTGATGAGGAGTCTGTTTTAGGAATGATTTGAGGACACCTATGCAAACAATTTCTCTGCCACACATATGCCCTACCCAGAGTTTGAGGCCTGACAAACCAACCACTGAGGAACTGGAATGAGTGCTTTAACTCCATTAACTCCCACCACCTCCACTGTGACTCTACCGTTTTCCTTGGGCGGGTGTGGGGGTAGGGGGGGCCCCCGCAGAACTAGAAAGGTCACAGGGTAGACAGCTGGAAGGGGCTCTAGATCATTTAGTCTCAGCCTTTTTTTCTCCAGGTGAGGCTCAGGCAGGGGAGGTTTAAAGGAGAAGAGAAAATTGGAAAGGGGCAGGAAAGATTCAGAATATAAGAGGGATACTTCTGATGTCTTTTGTAATCTCTTTAGAGAAAGACCATGTGGAGTCCAAGAAAGAAGGATTTGGAATTTGAAGACCAGAGATCAATCCTGTCTTTTCTACTTACTAACCCCCCAAGTATCCTTAGACAGCTTACCTCCCCTTCTCAAGTCCTCAGCTTTCTTGTCTGTGAAATGAGCAGGTAAGGCTAGGTGATCTCTCTGACGCTTTCTCTTTCTAAAATCTTTAGGAAACTCCATATGGAACTACAGCGACACTGCTTGTTTTCCTTAAGTATTGTCGTACTTTGCATTTAGGGTCACTGTATTGCTCAGCATGTGGTGGGCCTATGAAAAGAAAACCCCTCTACAGGTTGCTTTTCTCGTATGACACGCCACCTTGATGATAATATGCTTCAGTGGACAAACCAGACGGTGACATGCCTTTCACTTCTCTAGTCGATAGACCACATGTCATAAATGAAGCAGCTCCTGCCAAAATTTTGCTTGAGTAGCTCACATTTGGTTATGTTTCCCTCTGCTGAATGCAGGGTCCTAAAACAGAAAAAGTAAATGAGACGAATTGCTAATATGTTGGATGCTAGTGGAGTATGCATGTAACGACTTACTGAGGTTACTCAGTGAAAAATATGATCATCGCAAATAGTCCAGAAGACTGCAGACCCATTCACTGAGTTATGTACTTGCCACACTTCAGGATGTTACAAATACACAGAACAGCCTGGAGTCCTGGGTTTTATGTTTAGAGTTCCAAATTAGCATAAATAAATGCAAAATCACAAGCAAGGAGAATCCCTGTAGACCCCTGCCAAGAAGCTTTCTATTTATTTCAGTATACACATGAAATGTTTTGGATTCTTAAAGTGTACTACAGTTCCATTTCATTAGGAATATATGAAAAAGTGAGACTGGTCTGATGGCTTTAGTCTTTAAAGAAAGCATATGGTCATATAGAGTATTACAGTCCAAGTACAAACATTTCATACATAAAAATAATATTATATGGAAAAAAAAGCCTCACTTTGACTATAGCATGCACATGGGAACAGCTCTTTATTAGAGAGGATTAGTGGATAGAGTCCTGTGCCTGAAGTCAGGAAGACCTAAGTTTAAATCCTCCCTCTCATACTTACTAGCTGTGTAAACATAAGTAAGTCACAACCTTTCTGAGCCATAGTTTTTTAAATCTATATAAGACTGTGTGACCATGCATATGTCTACCTATCTCTACATATTTTTCCTACCCCTCATCAAGGGAGGCTGTGACTCCTGCACTGAGAAGACCAGAAGGGCCATATGCTAGGCAGTCTTTCCTCCTGTCTTTGAAATGAAAACTGGACTAGAATTATATCCAGAGGTGTGCTGGTAAATGTTTAACAACCAACTCTCAAAAAAATGTAAGCACAACACACTTTTAAGTTTAATATGCTTTATGAACATTTTCTCCATCGCTTTCTTAAGTCCTGATGTTCAATAAAACAGTATACCAAGGGCTGATTTGTAACTCGTTGATTTCCAAGGTGTAAATACTCACACTGAAAATTTAACAAGCCAATTGGAGCTGGCTCCAGTGTATTCTGGCTTATATCTATCTGCTCCCCCCCCACCCCAACCGCCATGCTGATGATCTAGAGGTGTAATAGATTTAAATGGACTCTTAACCTGCAATCTGTGAACTTGCTATTTAAATATTCTGATAACTGTATTTCAATATAATTGATTGCCTTTATAAGTCTATGTATTTTATGCATCTAAAAATATTATTCTGAGGAGTCCGGTCACATTTATGTCTTCTCAAGAAGCTCTGGAATTGATTCTACTCCTTATGCAAATATGCAGCATTACATCAGCAATCTCTCCACCAATTGGGAGTCTCCTGCATATATGCAGCAGCATGCAACTCCTCCCCCCAGGCTTGGAAACCTGAGTTATATATCTAAAAATGGGGGAAATAATAGGAAAATAATCAATGCACTTCCTACCTCATAAGTTATCATGAAGCTCAAATAAGATAATGTATGTTAAGTGTACTGCAAACTTTGTTTTTTTTGTTTTTGTTTTTTTTGCTTTTAGACAACTGGGGGTTAAGTGACTTGCCCAGGGTCACATAGCTAGTAAGTGTCAAGTGTTTGGTCTGAGGCCGAATTTGAACTCAGGTCCTCCTGACTTCAGGGCCAGTGCTCTATTCACTGCGCCACCTAGCTGCCCCTACTGCAAACTTTAAATTGCTATATAAATATCAGGTGAGAGACAGTGCGGCATAATGGATATAGAGCTGCTCTCAAAGCCAGGAAGAGCTGGGTTCAAATCCTGCCTCTGACACATGTTGGCTATGTGATGCTGGGAAAATCCACCTAACCTCTCAGTATTTTAGATGAACTCTCCAAGACTCTTAAGTTGCATTGGTTGGGGGCAAGAGAGTTCTCTTCATCTAGTGGTCTCTATAGCAATGAAATCACAGGTCCAGTCACAATCTTTATAAATATTAGTCATTACTATTATTGCTTAGAAAAGAAAAATAAATATTCCTTTTTGTAGCAGGAAAGAATTCCTCCTCTTTAAATCTGTCCCATCACCACCTTTTCCTCACTTACTTTCCTTTCACTCTCTCAGCTTTTCTGCCTCCTGGCTTTTTCTTTCTGGTTCTACATATCATCATCTCTTTGGCTTCACCCCACTTAGTATGTAATCAGAAGTCAAAATCTCTACATGTCTAAAGGATAGAAGGTTCTGTTCTGACAGCCCCCGAGTTTCTGGGCCAAAGCAACCAGTACCTGAGCATACTGGGGAAAAAAAAAAGATTCATCCCAGATGACTCTTGGTTTTGATAATGACTGCTGTAATGGAATTTCACTTGTAATAATTTTCATTGTCATTAAATTTTACCTGTAGTCACAGGCCTGGAGTAGAACCTCCTACCTGCCTAGTCAAGTGCTCACCTACCTAGCTGGATGCTATTTTTAGTCGTGTCTAGTAGTAAGTGGAAGACAATTTATTTCCCTTACAATGCTAAAGTGAGAAGTGCTGTAGTATAAAAATGACTGTTTTTTTTTTTAGTTTTTAAAAAATTAAAATAGCTAACATTTACATGGCACTTTCAGGTTTGTAAAGGTCTTTCCAAATATTATCTCAATTTATCCTTTCAACAACCTTGGGAAATAGGTGCTACTATTATCCTTACTTTGCTGACAACACAGCAATGATAATAACTAGCATTTATATAGTGCTTTATATTAGCTAGCTTTATATAGTGCTTGCAAAACACATTATAAATATTATCTCATGTGATCCTTACAACAACCCTGAGATGTAGGTGCTATTATTTTTCCCATTTTAGGGAATAGGCAGACAGAGGTTAAGTGATTTGTCTAAGGTCAAAGGCAGTAAATGTCTAAGTTTGGTTTTTAACTCAGGTCTTCCTGACTCTAGTTCATTATGCACTGCACCATCTTGCTGTCTGTCTTCATTATGAACTTAACAAATAACAAGATTTAGCATTTCAATATACAAAGAAGAACAAAACAGAGACTTTTACATGTTTGTATAAACCTTTAAAGGTATAAAAAGTTATTTATTCAACTTTGATAAAAGTAGAGAGAGGTTATCTATTGGCCAAAGATTTGATAATAGCCTTGGTGGCCACTTAAGGAAGACATATTTCTAGGGAAAGAATTACTCAGGAGGTGTCTCTGACGACTGTGATCTCTGGTAATCAAGAAAAGAACCTAGCTATAGAAAACCTTGAGAAGTATTCTTTCCCTCTTCAAGCGTAGATTTCTTTCTCTTATCACTCCCCCTCCCCCCCATTTTCTCATCTATTAGGAAGCAGGTTCAGTCAATTAAGGCATGAGACCAGAGAAGCTTTTTTAGTCAAGAGGAAGGGAGCCTTGGCTGTCAGGAGCTGAGCTGAAGAGAGGGAAATGCCCAGGAAGCACAAGTAAGAGACCTACCCAGTAGAGACACTGTGCCTGGGAGAGGAGCATAAGGATACAAGAAGGGATAGGACATACAAACCCTATAGTATCAGCTGTGTGAGTTGCCTTGGTCATTCACATTTTACTGTGCTTCTCTCTACTAATGTATCCTACATACATCCCTACTAATGCTGTGTGCAATTGTGGGATAGTATGCTTTAGATTCATGGTGAGGGGGGGATGTTTTGTCACTAGTGTTTGTGATTTGCCATCTCAGTAAATGCCTTTGAGCTAATTGTATCTTCTGGCTAAATATTGAAGATAAGCACCCTAGTGGGGGTTCCTAAGCAAACTATGAGTTTGACTTGGGGAATATCCTAGAAGGCCTGCTATACTGTGAGGAACTGTCCAACATATGTTTAGGGTACCGTACATATTTGTAGGGACCTACTGTAGAGATTCTTCTATTCTCCAGTTCTGCTGGAATCCAGTGGAGAAAACTAGTGTTTTCTTTTTTTTTTCTCTCAGACTCTAATTAGTCAATTTCCTATATATTTCTTTGACAAGTCAGACTAATTGCTTTCAAATAACTTTTGCATGTTTGAATGCTTATATAATTATATCTTTTGTATTACTGTGCTTATTACAAGTATGGACATTTATATGAGCAGTATGAGTATTGCCACTCCTCTCCCCACTTGGCGCCCCACCTCCTCGCCCTGGTAATGATGTCTAACAATGCATTTAGAGCATACTGTAGGGACTCATACATGTTAATTTTTAATTTTACTTTTGAGTAGATTTAGATTGCTTGCCTTCTTGTGGTATGATTCTGGACAGTTTGTTTGACATCATTATTTAATGCAGCAGGTCCATTTGTCCTTGAAACACAGAAATGTAGAAAGACACCCAAAGTGTTGGGCTCCCAAGAATCGATTAAGCACTTAGAATTGGTTACTTGGGGTTCCTAGGTAATCAGGCAAACTTTATCTTATGACCTGTTATCTTAGAGGCAATAAGGAGCTTCTGTAAGTTTCTGGTCAGGGATATGGTGAGACTGTGCTTTGGGTTATTTTAGTAGCTGTATGGATGATGGCTTGGTGAGGGGAGAGAGACTGAAATCAGAGATCAATTTGCAAGCTATTATAATAATTTGTACAAGACATGATGAGCTGATTTGGACTTGAACTAGTTTGGGGAGAGTAAGTAGATAGATTTTATATATATATGTATATATGTATGTATGTATGTACATATGTTGCATGGACACAACATGGCAATGGTCTGGTAAAGGGAAATAAAAATCCTGGATAACTTCAAGGTTATGAACTTGGGGGAATGGAAGAACAGTGGTGCCCTCAACAGAAAGAGGAAAGTTTGGAGGAAGGGGGTGGTTCTATTTCAGGTATGTTAAGTTGGAGATCCCAAGCGGGATATGCAAGAACCTTAGGCCCCTGATAATAAGGGATGAGAGTTCTGGTGAGAGATTAGGGTGGGATATATAGATCTGGCAGTCTCCTGCATAGCCATGATAATTAAACCTAATGGAGCTGATGAGATCACCAAGGGAGAGAAAGCCTAGTACACAATCTTAGGTGAACCCATGTCTCTCTTGGTTGTTGCTTTTTCTTCAAAGTCTGCCCTTCTCTCTTTTCTTCCCAAGGTCTTCTAGAAAAGGGGTGTGTGTGTGTGTGTGTGTGTGTGTGTGTGTGTGTGTGTGTGTGTGTAGGAGACTGTTGATTCCACTAGGGAAAGAGAAATTCTTTTTTTTGTTTGTTTGTTTGTTTCTTGCTTCTCACTATTCTATTTCCTCATGTGCTAGGCAGGAGTCTGAGGAAAGTTACTAGGAAAGTAAGTCCAACAGGCCTGATGAAATCCTGAAGAAATTTTTCTCCCAATCAGTTGAAGATTCCTTCCTGATTTTGCAGACCTGTTCTGGAATTCTTTCCTCCATTCTTCTGCTAAGTCACATATTGTGAAATAATTTCACACTTTATTATTATTTTAAATTAATCAGACCTTGAAGCCTGCAGGTTCTGGCCTTTTTGGGGCCATATCTAATTCTAGTTACACAAGATTACATCAGAATGTAACTTGGAACAATTGTTACATCGAGTTTAATGAAATGGGGTTATATATTAAAAAAAATCTTATTTTTATGAATATTTCTGTTTCTACATTACCTTCATTAAAAATTTAGTTTTATTCTTCAGTGATACGTATGCATAGTCAAGAAAAACAAATTCCCCTCATTGGCTATGCCCCTAAAATATGTTTCATTCTGTATCCTGAGTCCCTTACCTCTCTGTCAAGAGGCGAGTAGTATGTTTCATCAGGAGCTCTCTGGAATTCTGTTGGTCATTGTGTTGATTAAACCTCCCAAGGCTTTCACAGTCATCACCTTCACTTCTGAACATATTCTCCCATATCTTGCCCTGCTAGCCATCCTTTTAAACAAAGATTTAAGAAAGCAAGAAAAAAAATGGCAAAATCACATTGTGCATTGATTATGCCTGATGGTATGTGCAACAGTCCCCCACTTTTGTAAAGAGGATGGGGAGGTAGTTTTTCTTAACTCTTCCCTGGTTATTATTAGTTCTTTTAATAACATGACATTCACTTTTATGACTTTATTTTCTTCTTTTACGAAGGATTAGGTATATTCCCTAGTTGACTCATGAGGGCTCTGCATCTTGGGTCGAATCTATCCATGGAGCCTCTGCAGGTGAGTGTGTGAAGAAGAGCCGGGGCAGAATGATTCAAATAAAGCAGCAAGAGGGACAGCTGCTATGGGTATTTCAGGAATGTAGGATGAAAAGAAAAAAAAAGAGATTCAGAGAATAAACAAGATGGTAATCAGGAAGAAAGACCCTACTCTGGTCTAGCAGCAATTCCTCATGTTGACAATGTAGAGGTGAGACTATGACTCTCAACAGAAGCAGGTGCCTGAGATGAGCAGAGAGACAAGAAAACAAAGGAGTGAAAGTGGAGCAATTAGTACAGAATAACGGTTTGGCACGAAAGGGGAGGAGCCTATGGCTAAATCCAGGTTGGAGTAGCAGCCTTTTAGTCTACTCCCATGTGCCACGTGCAATTACCAATTTCCTGAACTTGTCTCTCTGGGAAGCCATGGAAGTAACATTTGGAGAGATTTGCTCCCTCCCCAATAAAGGGGCTGAGGGAGGCTATATGGGCACTCAAACTGGGTCTGGGAATCCTGGATTTGGGGCATTCCTATTCAATCTTTTCCTCTCCAATGCTTTCCTTCTTCTGGCTCTCACTTACACCTGATTCTCTCCTCATGACACAGCAGCCACTCTTTCTGGCCTCTTTCCAACATTGTCTGTACTTTCACTCATTCCCCTCTACTGGGTAGAGGTGGGGAGTTAGAATACTCCTTGCTCTGCATTGCCACTTCCAGGTTCTCTGGCTACATCATCAGTCAGTAATCCTCCTCCTTTGAGGTTCAAGCAATTTACATCTACCACCCAACTAAAATCTTAATAGCTGGACAATCCTCTTCCTTCCTCAAAGAATTCAGTACTTGGCTTACACTCTTTCTTTTCCCACATTCTTTCAGTTCCTTCCCAGTCCTGCATTAGCCACACTTTCCTCCTTTTTCATCTTGACCTTCTGGTGAAACAGTTCAACTTTACACTGCCATCTTCGCTTGAGTCTCTAGTCCCCTTGTCACATCATTGATAATGCTTGACAAGCCTCAGCCTTGGATCACTCCCACCATCAGTTTCCACCACTCCTAAACACATGCTGCTGAATGAAGGTGGAGTCCACTACAAATTTATGCTACAGAGCCTCAACTGGGCCTCAATGCTCAAGGCTCTACGTCTTCCTAATTAATTCACTTTCCCACTTAACACAGCATCTCTTTGAAACCTTTTCATCTCTCCTCAAACCTGCCGTGACTCCTTCTACTCCTACCTTCTCAGCTGAGACCCTTACTTCATATTTTACTGAAAATAATTGAGGCCATTCATCAAGAGCTCTCTTTTCCCCTGCTCTTTATCTCAAATCACTCAGATGCCCTCTGCCACTATCTCCTCCTTCACCCTTGTCTCAAAGAGATGGCTCTTCTCCTTGTCAAGGCAAACCTCTCTGCCTATATAAATGATCTCATTCTATTCCATTTCTCCAGTAGACTGACTCCTCTATCATCCCTATTCTCTCACTAACTTTTAATTTCTCCCTGTCTACTGGCTGCTTCCATACTGCCCATAAATATGTTCGTCTTCCCTATCCTTGAAAAACCCTCACTTGATCCTTTAATTCCCACTAACTCTTGGCCCTACATTTTGCCTGCCTTTTGTGGCTAAATTCCTTGAAAAGGGTGTCTACAGTAGGTGCTTCCACTTCCTCTTTTCTCATTCTTTTCTTAACTCTACAATCTGGCTTCTGGTCTCATCATTCAGTGGAAACTACACTCTCCAAAGTTACCAGTGATTTCTAATTCCCAAGTTCAATGGCTTTTTCTCAATCTTCATCCTTCTTGATCTTCCTGCAGTCTTTGACACTGTTGATCACCTTCTTTTGCTTAATATTGTCTTCTCTTAAGGTTTTCAGGTCACCACTCTGTCCTCGTTTTCTTCCTACTTATATGACTGCTCCTTTTCACTCTCCTTTGCTAGATCTTCATCTAGTTCATGTTCTCTAACTGTAAATTCCCGCAGGGTTCTATCCTGGACCATTTTCTTCCCCCTGTATATTACTTCACTTGGTAATCTCATCAGCTCTCATGGATTAAATTATCATCTCTATGCTGCTGATTGTCAATAGATTTGACTTATCCAGCCCCAACTTCTCTGCTGACCTCCAACTGCATTTCAGATATCTTGAACTAGATGTCCAGTAGACAATGTAAACCCAACACATTCAAAACTGAACTCATTATCATTCCCCTAATCGGACCCCCTTCCAAATTTCCCTAGTTACTGCTGAGAGTACCACCATCCCCTAAGTCCCCCAGGCTCATATGTCTTGACTCCTTACTATCTCTCACCTTGCCATATTTAATCTGTTGTCAAATCCTGTCGATTTCACCTTTACAACATCTCCTGAATACATCCCTTCTCTCTTCTGACACTGCCACCATCCTGGTGCAGGCCCTCATAATCTTACACCTGGACAATTTTAATAGCCTGCTGATGGTTCCTCCTCCCTCAAGTCTCTCCCTACTTCCAGTCCATCCACCATCCAAACATCATACTGATTTTCCTAATGTTCAGGCCTGACCGTGTCACCCTCCTACTCAATAAACTCCAGTGGCTCCCTATTACCTACAGGATGGATCAAATACAAACTCCTCTAGTGTTCAAAGTCCTTCATAACTCAGTTCCCCTCCCCACCTCTTCAGTCTTCTTATTTCTTATACCTGTCCACACATTCTCTGATGCAATGACATAGGCCTCCTTTAGATTTCTCTAAAAAGACACTTCACTTGGCTCCAGGCATTTTTACTGGCTGGCCCTCATATGCATGGAATGCTATCCCTCTTCATTTCTGACTTGTAGATTCCTTGAAGTCTACAATAAAATCTAGCTTCTGCTAGCAGCCTTTCCTAATGCCTCTTAATTCTGATGTTTTCCCTCCATTGATTTATCTCTAGAGATTATCTCCATCTCTCTATTTATCCTGTATCCAATTTGCTTGTACATAATTGTTTACATCTTGTCTTCCCCATTAGATTGTGAGCTCCCTGAGGGCAGGCACTGTCTTTTGCCTTTCTTTGTATCCCCAGAGCTTAGCAAAGTGCCTGGTACATAGTAGGAGTTTACTGAATGCTTATTAACAGTCTGTATGACCATCGGTGAGTAAATGAATCTGTCAGTGATTCAGACAACTGTCTAAGAATATATATTGTAGATGAGCTACTGATCTGCATTTGTGGAGTGAGTTTCCACACCAGAATCTCATCATATTAATGAAATCATAGGTCAGTAAAAAAATTATCTTCTTTTGCCTATTCATAGTAATTGTGTATATTGTTCATTTGATTTTGTTCACTTTGCATCACTTCATACACACCAATATTTCTTCATAGTTTTTGTATTCCTTATGATAGAGTAACACTTCCATAAATTTATTTACCACAGTTTGGACAACTGTTCCTGAACTGGTGTATGAGAAGTTTCTTTCCATTTTTTTCTACTATGAATTATATTATAAAATTTTCATGTCTTTTCTAATTGTTAATAACCAGCTTAGGGTATATATCCAACAGGAGCATTCCTGGGTCACAAGGATTGTGATTTTGTAACTTTTCTTGTATAATTCCAAATTGTTTTTCAATATAGTTCAACCACCTGCTCCACTAGCAGTCAATTAATATCCCTGCTTTTCCTGACTCCCCACCAAGATTGAATTTTTCCATCTTTTGTGATCTTTGAAAGTCCATTGGATTTAGTAATTAAGATATTAGCAAAATGTTTTAAAGAGAAGTTTCAGTGATGGGATTAGGAGTTAGATTACAGAAAAACAAACAAACAAACTCAACAACAACAGAGGCCAGAGGCGAGACGGTGGAGTGGAGGACACACTCAGCTGTGTTTTACCAATGTTCCCCTCCAAACAACTTTAAAATAATGCCTTGAATCTAATTCTAAAGTGGCAGATCCAAAAAAGGTCAGGGTGAGACATTCTTCCAGCCCAAGACAATTCAGGAGGTCAGAAGGAGAGATCTGTGAGATGGGGGTGGAGGCTGGCCCAGAGCCCATGTGGATAAAATACCAGTGTGGGAGTAGGTAGTAGCGACAGAAGCAGCAGCAGCTTTGAGAGTTCTCAAGATAGAGATGGTAAGGGGATGTGATAACTAGTCAGAAAGAGATTACAGGGACCCTTGCGCTAGTGCTGAATGCAGGACTGGAGGCTATTTGTTAACTCCACTGCCTATTCCCACGTCTGGGTCACAGTTCAAGGACAGAGAAGAACACTTTTAGTAAAGAGGAAATCGGGACCTTGAAGAGCAATATCATTTCTGGTCCTCAGGGCAAGGGCCCTGAGGAACAGTATTACTTCTGGTACCAAGGGAGCAAAGACCCTGAGTAGCAAAATCAATCGCAATCATTAGGGATCAAGGGCCCTTTCTGGGTAAGAACCAGAGAAATATCAGAAGAGCAGTGACCACACCTTTTCCTGGATCACATCATCTTGGAAGCACCAAAAACCTCCAGCTCCCCAGATCTAGCTCTGAAACCAGCAGTGCGAAAAAGCCTAAAGCTTGGAACAGTGTTCACCCCCTACACTGGAAACTGAGCCCAAATTTAAAGTAAAGTTCAAAATCAAGAAATGGTGGGGAAATGAAACAAACAAAAGAACCTGGCCACAAAAATCTACTATGGTGACAGGGAAGATCAAGACACAAACTCAGAAGAAGATAATGAAGTCAAAACAGCTACAAGCAAAGGCCTTTAAGTAAAATGTAAATTGGACACAG